AATAGCATGAAGTTGAGTGTTTGTATTCAGGTGTGTAAACGCTGGTGGCTGGTTGAGATGCTCACTTGTAAAGTAGTTTGGCACGTCAGAGCATATTTTCCCTTAAAACAAGATCACAAATAGTGATTTATTTCCCAAGTGGGGTGACCCATTGCCCTGGTTTGCCTGAAACTGAAGTGTTTTCCAGAATGAAGGACTTTCAGTGCTAAACCTGGGAAAGTCATGGGAAAACCAGAATGATCAGGTACCCCACAAGTCCAACACCCCAAAACTGATCTGCCTGTGTCAGTCACAACTTTGGGAGCCCTTCGTGAGAAGCCAGCTCTGCTGGGTGCCAGAGTTTCCCCTGTTGCACTGCTGGGCTCAGCACTTGATCTCTGACAGTTGCCTGAGCCCCTGGGTACTGATGTTACTCTGGGGTCTGAGTGTGAGAGAAAAGAGAAATATCTCCTCTCTGTTACACTTTGTCACTTAGACCCCAATGCAGCCTGTCCTCTGCCTAGAATATCACTTCTTCCAAAAACATGGTACTTTTAGGTTTGTGTACTTACTCTTCTCCCGTTGTTGCCCAAACGAGTCCCTCATTTTCAGGGTGGAGGATGAGCATTAACAGAACATCAGAAGCTGTCCTATCCTCTCCACAGTCTTGAACCTCTCGTCCCACCTCTCATTCATATCAGCTCAGATAATCAATGCTGACTCCGAGATGGATGGCCAATCACCACTTCCCCAGAGAGCTATCTCAGAATCCCACCGGGAGCTTGCTTGGGGACCTGCACAGCCTCTTTTCTAGGAATATAACATAGTTAATAATGACCTTGAGATCCGCACTAGTAAAGAGCAACCTACTGAACTGCCATTCACCAAGGTCCACTCTTAATAACACCCCCCTCTCCCTACACACCCTCGTGGAAATGTTTTCAGCGTCCCCTGTTCTTTCATAGCACTTGCTTTATGTTTCTGTGTAAACCTTGATCATGATCTGCCTTGTAGTGCAGTCGCTTAAGCATATGTCTATCTCCTTCATAAACTGCAGGTCTTTAAGAGCAGAGAAACTGTCTCACTCATCTTTATACAACTCTTAGAACCTTGCAGATTGCCTGTCGCAGAGAGACTATCCAGTAAATATCTCAGGAATTGATAAGATCCTCTGGACTTTAGAAACTCATCAGAGATCAGCTGGCTCCATTATAACTTGGTCAATAATTCAGTCTATTAGGAGGAATGACTATATTAAATTTGTTCTGCCAACATTGCTTATTCTTGCATTGAAATTCACAGACTGCTAAATTGAAATTTAGCAGGTCACGGTGGTGTGAGAAGACTTGTCAGTGATAGAAAAGATGAAGAAATCACAATAAATAAAATTCAAATTATTCTAGGTAAACTTTAATTGAAAAATCATTTGAACAATGCTGTTCTCTCTAGTAGATAATACTCAAATAGTAAGGTGTTACTGAGTGAGCAGAAAGGGTAGAATATACTTTGATATTCTACTCAAAGGTTCTTATTTCAACTTTAAATTGCCTCATAATATCATAGTACAGCAGCCAAATTAATGAGTCAAGTCAGACTTCAAATAAATACACCGAACAAATCAAGTTTCAAACTCAATTAACTTCTAGGAAAAAGAAGAATTCTGAAATTAGGACTAGATTGGAGGAATCTGTGTCTTGTAGATAAAACATTTTTTTAAAGGCTCAAATCCTTTACAAGTTTAAATATCAAAATAATCTGCCTAAGGACAAATTAGAGTCACCCCAAAGTAGAGTCAGTCAGTACATTAGTAAGACATGTTATATGCCAATATGACATACTTGTAATATGTCAACACATTAGCAATGTAAGTGTTAAAAATTTGTGAGAACTCCAAAATTATCATTAAACTCAAAGCCAGGGAAAAATTTGTAGTGACCTAGAGGCATTCCAGAGAATTTGGGGACCACAATATTCAAGGCTGAAATAAAAGTTCTTTTTGAAGTTGATACTAAAGGTAATTTAAGATGACTCGAACTTGTAAGATGATTAGAAATTAGTCTATTAACCAACAACTCTGAGAGCATCAGGAAGCTGTGGTTAAATAAACTCCTGTACTTTTGTCAAGGCCCTGCATAAATGGTACCTACACCTCCTGAAAGGATGACAGAGAATCCTTTGAGGTTGTTCACCAAACATCCCATTGGTGCTGGCTCCTCTGGGATCACTCCCAATCATCACAATCAACTGCAGGCTGCACTGTCCCTCACTGCACACCTACTATGTGTCAGGCAACAAGGCAGGTACTATCCGCACCATCACCCTGCTCCCGTGATTGTAAAGCGTTTCAATCCCGCAGCATTAGAACAAGTTTAGATTGATAACTCTTACTTAGCACATTAAAAAATGAGCCTGGATGACATACAATTAATTATATGTTATTCCACTCTGATTTTAAAAAGAGAAAAAGATTCTGTGTGATTTCACTCTGTGATAATTTTTCTAATAGGCAGAAGAAAAGGCAATAATTTAGTTGTGACACTATCATAATCCTCCAACCCATGAAACACAATAAAAGAATATTCCACTGAAACATCTCACTCGAAAGGCTGTTTTCTTTTATGATGATGGAAAAAGTATTTGTTGAATTCTGATGACATCGTAACTGATTCCAATGTTCTGCATAGAGGAGAAAAAACATTTTCCATTGTATACACAGTAATAAGTAACCATCTAAGCATAATGCATGTGTATTAGAAAGAGGGGAACAATTATTTACCCTCATGTTTGCTTTCCTGCCATCAGGGCACGAGGGGGCTGTGTGTGGGCCTACCTTCGGACAGCCATCTTTGCTTAGTGGGAAGAAGATTCATACCATGGTGTGGAAGTCCCAAACAAGTGCTGACCTTTCCTTCTCTTTATATCTGCTCCTCTGTCCAGACCCTTATCTGGCAGGGGAAAGAGGCTGGAAGGTGTTCAGGCAGCTAAAATATTGCAAAAGAGATAGCGCGGTGCCTCCTTCCTGAATTAGGGAGTGGAACCAGCCCTAAAAACAGTTATTCTCTGAACTTGTAAGTTTGTCCATAAGATCATGACTAAGAACTCTCAGGCTGAGAAGCTGAGTCCTGATTTGGCCAAATGAATACTATTGTTAGAGGGGCTGGTTTTCCCCCAGAGCCAAGTCTATAGGAAGAACAGGTGGGACTTGAGGGGAGGGAATGCCTGGGAGAAAAGGGTTGGGGGTGGCCATGGGACTCGACTTCATCCCACATTGGATTCTCCCTTTAGAGTAGTAACCCAGTGGTCCAAGCCTATCACAAAGTCAATTACAGAGACTAGGAATCAAGAATAATTAAAAACTCCTCAAAATACGTCTTGCTCTCTCATACCTGCAGATCCTCTACCTTACACCCTTCATCTGGCAGTTGGTGCTCTGCCTTCCAACCTCCGCTCAAGCACCGGTAGCTCCAGGAAGTTTGGCCTGCCTCCTCCAGTCTCACCAGCCTGGGGTGGGTGCCCCTTCATGGCTCCTGTAACACCTCCTGCCCACCTCCTGTTAGAGAGGGCGGAGGTATCTCTTCCCCTGAAACAGTGGATCACAGCTTTGAGTGTATTGAATTCAAAGGGCTTAAGTTTTAGTCTTGGCCAGTAGAGGCTTCTGGCTGTTCCTCCTCTGTTCTCTTTTACTATCTCCCCCTGCATGGAATGAAGCTGCTATTCTGATTGATTCTTGAGACCACATTGCACTGTGGGCAGGGATTTTTTTTTTTTTTTTTTGCGGTACGCGGGCCTCTTACTGTTGTGGCCTCTCCCATTGCGGAGCACAGGCTCCGGACGCGCAGGCTCAGCGGCCATGGCTCACGGGGCCAGCCGGTCCGCGGCATGTGGGATCTTCCCGGACCAGGGCACGCACCCGTGTCCCCTGCATCGGCAGGCGGGCTCTCAACCACTGCGCCACCAGAGAAGCCCAATGGGCAGGGATATTGTCCAGAAGGTAACACGCATTCACGAGTGTCCCTTCTCTTCCCCCCTCTGCTGCTGGACGTGGCAGGCTGCCTCTTCCTGTTTGTGTGCTGTTTGCGTAAGTGGATTTGTGAGACTGCCACACACCTCACTATTCCTGCCGCTCCCCACCAGGGTGCTGAGGTTTCGTAAGGGGGCTGGGCTACCCTAGAGGTTCAGGCCTCAGCCAGGTGCTCTGATTCAGCTTAGGGCAGCCCTGTCTTTGTCTTCATTGGATACTTGCCCATCTGGTACTTTGTTCTCCATTTGCCAATTGATTGTTAAATCTATAGCTCCTTTGTCAGGAAACTGCAAAGGGAGGCATGATGAGTGGAAAAGAGGCCCCTAACATCCCCAAACTCTAACACTCCCATCTCTGTACTTCCAACGATGCACTAATTATCTGTCTCCCTCATTGGAGGGCAAATTCCCTGAGAAACTATTACTGATCTTTGTATGCCCAGTGCTTAGTGCAACGTCCAACAGGTATTAGGTGCTCGAAAATGCTAAGTGTGTGAATGGATGAATGGATGAGTGAGTTTGGCCATTCTTGGACCTGCTTCACTGATCCAACCCTGGCCACTCTGCAAGCTGATCCCCCTCTGTGTTGAGCTCAGCAGGTCACCTCACCCAGAATGTCCTCAATCCCAGCTCAACATTCATGGTCTCTTTGAAGACTTTTCTAGCTAATTCTACCCACACTCATTTCCATTTCTAAATGCCTTTTGTACAGTTTAGTACTTTGTTATTCTCTAATTTGTTTTAAGTGTGCCACGATTATGTTGTTGACAAGGTCATATATGACCTGGTCTTGACTTACATCTTCCACGAGACATCATCGGGCAGGGTAAAGTCTGAAATTAGAGCAGCTGCTGTCAAATCCCCCTAACCTGAATGCAGTGGGGAAAGTCACTTACTTTCCCTGGGCCTCAGCTTCCTCACTTGTGAAAATGGGGGGAATAATCCTCTGCTTGAATGTGTCATGAGCACTGAAAGGATCAAAATAAAAACACAATGGCACCTACAAAAACACATACACAATTTATACCTCTTAGAATGTTGAATAAAGCTAGGATCAGAGGAGAGCTTCATAAATTCTCATACATTTACTTGATAATGACTATGTTGCTCACAGGCATTTCATGAATGAAGGTTGAATTATTCTTACTGTAACTCTCGCAAGGATTATGATTATTATTTGCAATGATATATGGGTGGTATGGTGCCTTTAAACTCATTCCAAGAAGGGTTATCAGGCTGAAAATGTTTCAGAAGTACTACTAGGGAATCTCTTGGAATGTAGTTGTGCGATTTTTTTTTTATACCATTATTGTTATTTCTTAAAGTGAATTTCTGTTTCTCAGGGATGTCTTAGTCCACTCGGGCTGCTATCACAAATTACCATAGACTGAGTGGCTTAAAAACCACACAGATTTATTGCTCACAGTTCTGGAGGTTGGAAAGCCCAAGATCAAGCACCAGCAGATTTGTTGTCTGGTGAGAGCTTGCTTCCTGGTTCATAGCCAGCATCGTCCTGCTATGTCCTCATATGATGAAAGGGATGAGGGACCTCTTTGGTTCCTTTCATAAGGGCACTGGGGAAACATTAGAATGCTTTGTGAACAAAGAATATTTTGTATACCATACAATTCCCTAAGTCACGGTGTGTACAGGGTTTTCGTAAGCAGTTTTAAGACATCACATAAAAATATTTGTGCATGTTTTTTACGGTGTGGTTCAAAGTACAAATATAGGATGAGGCCCATTTTCTTTGATTTAGAAATTACACATCAGAATCTAATACTAAGCCTATGCAAATAAGTACGTGGAGGGAGTATAATAAGTGAAGGAGAGGGGAAGTTTAATAACCTTTAGCTAAATTAATTATCATACCCCATGTTGTGTGAAAAGATAATCATCCTACTCAGTGTGTTTCTGTTTAGGACTCAAATTCTAAGAGTGGTGGCCTAAGTAAATGTGTAGGTCTGAGCTGTCTGATATGGCAGCCGCTGGAAACACGTGGCTATTTAAGATACACTAAAATGTAAAACTCTGCTCCTTATTTGCACTCGCTACATTCAAGTGCTCAAAAGCCACATGTACCTAGTGACTACTGTATTCAACAGAGGACATACAGGACATTTTGCAGAAAGTTCCTTCAGACATCAGTCCTTTCTGCTGACAGCATAGGCTAACAAGGTTAGCAAGAATTCCATATGAATGGGGGAAAAAGTTCAGCAAATTGTTAGAAATTAGCATTGCCCTGCTCTGTGTTTCCAAATATGTCTGTTGTTCACACACACCCACACACACACTCCCCACAGCTGAGTCTTGGTCGTCATAAATCATATCTTTATATCTTCCATAGGCACTGTTTTAATATTGGTGAAACAAACCTTGAATCTGCTACTTGAGGGAGATTGTGGTTTAATGAATAACTTCAAATAATTCTTACTACTGCAACAGCAGATTCTGCATTGAGGAGCATACACTTTTGAATGCGTGGTACTTTATTTAAACGCACATATATACAATGTCGACAAAAGGAAATTCTGCAGAGGTGAGCAAAGGGGCTGCATGCATTGGGAGGACCGGCAGACTCTAGTTTTACAGGATGAAATAGGGGTTGAAAAATAGGCAAAGACCGGAGAGCAAGTTTCATTTCCCATCACCACATAGAAGGGTCTTCCAGCCTGTCAAACACAAGAAGCAAAGCACGTAAGAGAAGCTTCCCAACTTCCTGGGAGCCTTGCCAAGAGTGAGACATTCAGTTCTGAACTGAAAGATGATCAGAAGCTGTTGAAAAGTCTGCTGTTGGCATTCTAAATAGGAGGCCATGTAGACTATCAGAGCGGGAGACAGTGGCATAATGTACAGAGACCCAGCTGAGTAGCTTTCACTCATGTTACCGAGAGTCTCGGGCAAATCTCAGAGGGAGTATTTAAAAGGCTCTGTATTTATCAAAGAAGCCAAAGAACCCTGCAATATTTCTGAAGATCACAACTACAGGAATCACATGAAACTGTAAAAAAAACTTACTGTTATTCAACTCTGAATGTGCTTCCTGTATTTTCCTGCAAGTCTTTTTATGTAGTAAGGTGCTATTTATTAGACTATAAAGAACCCTTTTAAATAAAATAGCATTCACAGGCAACTTCAAGGCTGTCAAGTTTTGTCTCCTTCTAAGTACACATGATTGAGCCTGTCAATCAGAGTACGATTAACTCTATTTCATGCACCAACCGTGTGAGGCTTGGCCACAAAACAAAGAGCAGAAGCAAGACAGTAAGTCGGTCTGGACGATTATATATTTCTAACCCTAAGTAGATAGAGCATAGCCTAAACTTTTTACGGTGGCAAACATCATATGCCTATCAATGAAACATTAAGAAGTATGTATTGCTTAGTATGAGATTTCCACCTGCTTCCCTTGCATTTGATGTTCAAGTCTTGGCTGCTACCGCCAGGGACAAGAGCACTGGAGTTTTATTTCAGTCCAAATTGGTGCTTCCTTCAGAGAGAACAAACCTGACAACTCTACACGTGCACCTTCACCCTGGCTGGCCATTTCACAAGAGAACAGAGGGAGGGTGGGAGGGGAGGCGGGCGGCTCAGAGGGTCATCGGCTCATCCTCTGGGGAGAACCCAATGAAGAGTGACAACCAGTCACACGTGCTGAGCAAGTGTTCTAGTGACCTCTCCTGGGGAACTTGGTTCTTGATGTTGTAGAGCTCTGGGTTTAAGGCGGACTAGCTAGCACAGAACTGGATAAACCATATGCCATGTGATCTTACTGGTGGGTAGGGGCAGGGGGCCTGGGACAGGAGAGTCAGTTATGGAAACGGAGGAGGACCAGGCATCTTTTCACTCACAGTCTCCTCTCAGGAGGACCCCAGCCCAATGTCTGACACCTAGATATCAGAGGGCACCCTTCCTAAGGCAGGTCCACACTCCAAGAAAGCCCCAAGGCTCCAGACAAGCCCTAAGAATAATGTCATTCTTGTTCATTCATTGAATGTGATAAATTATGATGTGACATCAGTTGAACTAAAACATGTCAAAAAGTAAGCAGGAGTACCCCTCGACTTATCTACAGCTTCGTGTAAAACCAGGAAGACTGGAGTGAGAACCAGAAGGGGCATTTCCTAGGATGTGGAGATCCTCCACCTAGGGTATAACAACTAAAGATGACCTCAGCCAAAGATGGAGAGTTGGTCATTTCAATGTAGAGATGGGCTGCTTACCCTATGCTTCCACAATCTAAGCCAGTGAGAAATTCTCTATAGAGTAATTTCTGAGATTAAAGTCACTCATATTTAACATTTCAAAGGAGCATCAAATAATTTGAGCCAGAAAATATTACCCCACAGCAGTTTAGAGATTTGCAAATGAGTGTGTGAAGAGAAAGGTCCTCCCTGCTCTGTTCCCCACCCCTCTTTCTGTCCAAATCCTACCTGGTCTAGAAGACCCCATTCCAAACGCCTCCTCCCAGCAGCCCTCTCTGATTTCCCTCTCCTGGGTACCTGAACTCTGCAATAATGTCCCCACACAAGCGTTTACATACCTAGTTCTGGGAACGTTTTCCGTGCTTTCTCTCATCAAGAGGTCTGAAATCAGTGTCTCAGGGCTAGATCGTTTTCCATATCTAAAAAAAAAAGCGGGGTCGGGGAGAGTAAAAGTCCTTTAAAGCAAGTTTGGAGGAACCATAAAAACCTTTAGGAAAAGAAAAGATTTGTGGTATTAAATATAAAAGTTATTTTCAGTTGATCATCTGCTAATGAGTAATCTAGGTGAATGAAACATACATGATATAGAAACATCATAAATATGATTTCAAATTACATATATATTTAAATTTTGCTTAAATATTTAATAGATAACTTAGCAGATTATATAAGCCAACCAAAATTCCTAGTCAAATTCTTGACTTTTTATATTATCACAAACAATACATATGTATAGTTTTATAACTAGGTGACAGGAAATAAATTTAAATACATCGAAGTATGATTTTAAATGTTTCCATAATTAGATAATTGGCTTACAGTTCTGATGATATACATCAGTTTAAATCAAAGAGACCAGATGATATTTCAGAAACAGGTCTATGAAAAACTCATCAGACTGAAGTTCTAGACTCACCTGTGTCTTTGAATCTCAGTTCTCCCATTTGTAAAAACAAAATCATAACTCCTGCTTAGATTAGAGTCTTGATGAATATCCAATGTAAGTCACAATGCTTTGAAAGTGACAGAGCGATACACAAGAATGCACATTACTGCTGTTGAAATGCACCCATTCTCACAGCTGCCAACAGATCCTGAGTCCATACTTATTTGGGGTGCCAAAAGCTAAAAGCCTTCTCTCATGCTGTGATTTTAATCTGCCCTGAAAATATGAAGGAATCCTTCTGGTCCATGGAAATGTTCTTGGTCTCTTTTCTCCCACAGCAGGATATGGATAGGGCGATACATGAATTCAAGGTTATGTTCTCCTGCCAGGGTAGTATATGCTGCTGGTTCCAGGTAAGTGAGGACATTAGTCTGTCTGTCTGTCTGTCTCTCTCACTGCTAAAGGATCTGACAAGTCTACACCAAGTTGTGTTTTTTGAGGAGTCTGTTTTTCCCTTTCTTAGAAAGGGCATTGGACATCAGCAGCTGCTTTTTTCCACAAGTGAAAAATAAGCCTGGCGTGGATTGATTAGCTAACAGATAAAACAGCGGAACAAAGCTGATGGAGGATATATGCTAACTGCCTATTGAGCACAGTTAAATCTAAATTCTGGGGAAAGATTTCCTATTATTGCTCCTTTGCTGGAACTCAAGGGATGCAAATACAAAGCCATCCACCCTGTCCCCATCATTTGTAAGATTTCCTCAAAGATTTTCTGGAGTTGTAGTATCAGGCTGCAGGCTTCTGCTTATATGTATTTATTCTGTCCATCAGTTGATTTTACTAATGCTAAAACTCTTGGGCAACCTTAAACTCATTTATCCTCATCATACTTCAGTGAATTAAAGAACTGGAGAATATTTTCTCCTATTTACCATTAGAGAACCTAAGTCTGTAACAGCAGAATTTACACAGTCAGAAAGTGGTACCCAGAGCAGCACTGATGACTGTTCTTCCATCTCTAATTAATTCTGGATTATCCTTCTTCTCCACAATGCTTTAACTTTCAAAGATAGCATCTCTAGGGAAAAGAATTTTAAACCTGACCGCATATTAGAATCACCTGGGGAGCTTTTAAAATCACTGTAAAGCCCAGCCCCGTGCCCCACCCCCCACGGGGAGATTCTGATTTAATTCACAAGTTTATTAAATATACTGATGCTGCTGTTACAGCAGCATCAGTATATTTTAAAAGCTCCCAGGTGATAACAATGAGAGACCAAGAGGGAGAAACTCTAGTCTAGGGCTGAGTTTCTCAATCTTGGCACTGTATACATTTTGAGCGGGATAAGTCTTTGTTATCAGGGGCTGTCCTAGGCATTGTAGGACGTTTAGCAGCTTCCCTGGCCTCGACCCACTAGATGCCAGTAGCACCTTCCCACCCCACCACTATGACAAACGAAAATGTCTCCAGACATTGCCCAGTGTCTTGGGGAGCATAAAGTCAGCCCCAGTTGAGAATCACTGACCTAGGAGACTGTATAAATAAAATGTGGTAGATCAGTGCTCTAGAATAAACGATGCCACCTATGGAAGCGATGAGCCAGGAGTGTATGGCTTTAGAACGTGAACTGAGTAGCAGAGGGGAGGAAAGAGAATGATATCACAGTACCATTTATGCCAAATTAAAACGTATGTTCACAAATGTAATTTTCAAAAATACAAACATGCGTATGAGTGGACGTGTGCAGTGGGAAGATGATAAGAGCACAGAATGGAGGTGATGGGTGCAGATCATAAGCCTTTGAGTGTTTCTAAGATGGAACTTATATGAAGATGAGACAGAAAACTGCTTCAGGACCAACTCCTTCCCACCTAACCTGAATCTCATCCCTTTCCCTTATTTTCTCCTCATCAAGGGTGTTGAAGATCACATTGACTGCTGACAGTGGTGACAACATCCAAAGATCGATAGGAGGAGGGCTCCAATTTAATCATCACTAAAAAAGGGTTTTCATGAAATGTTCTTAGTTTCATGATCTGTAAAATGGAGATAATTATACTCACTTCAAAGCTTTGAGGTAAAGACTGAAGAAAATAATGCCTAGGAAAACATGTTGAAATACTAAAGCTTTATACAATAGTAAAGGTTTACAGCAATCATCTCTGAAAAATAAGTTTTACTGTATGCTATAATTAACAGACTAAATAACTAATAAAGGCTTTCCTAGAAGAAAAAGAACAATTCGTAAAAGTTCTTTTCTCTGGTCTGTATGATAGCATAAGCAAGAATTTGAAGCAATTAACTTTCTGAAAAGTCTATTAAGATATAAGACATTTTTGCTTTTCACTAATGAAAATTATCTGACTTTAGGGACCATAAACCAATACTTATTTAATTCCGGCACTTTCATGTATTTCTGATTCTATATATATTGGTACTTTAAAAAAAGATTTTCAGGATGAAACAGCTTTCTGATGAAACAGAAAAGATGTTAAAAATTAAGAAATATAAATTCTCCCCACTTTGGATCCTTTCCAACTATTCCCTGAATATAGTAAAACAACAAACAAAAAACAATATTTTACAAAACGTAATTTAAATATGTTAAATAACATTAATGCTTGTAAAGAGCTCATTGTTTTTAGCTTATTAAGGTCATTTGATCTCAGTAATTAAAATAAGATACTGAATGATTCAAAACTAAGATGAACCAATTTTGGAAACAAATTTTAAATCCTATGTTATTTGTAAAATATTTTGGATTTGATTTTTTGCTTAAGATCTGATGTTGAGAGTAAAATATGGCCTTTCATCTTAGCTTTCCGGGGGTTCAGAATAAAGATGAATGACAATTTCTCAGATTACACGGAATCCCTGGATTCACCCTACAGTGAGTACACCACTGTAAGTTTCTCCTTAGAAAAGCACCAAGTGGGCATTTCCTTTTCAGAACTCACCTGCTATGAAATGGGTAAAGTCTCACCATGTTACATCAACTATTTTCTTGCTAAATATCTACTTATTAGGAGCAGGATTGTCAAGTGAGGGGCTGAGACTGCAATAAAACACTGTACAGAAGGGAAAAAAATAGTTCTATTTGTCTTTTCCTAAATACCGTCATTCACTTCGGTCTGGGCAGGTTGGAAAACCAGGCAATGTCTTTGGCGACTCAGCTGTTTCCTCCTTAGCTTGTGCTGTTGTTTTTCTAGATACGCTGCTCTCCCTTCTCCCTACAGCACCTCCCTGGCGCCCTCCTGACCCCTTTTACGGGGTACTTTCCTATTCAGGTTTGCAAACAGAACCCCCAACTGCTCTAAGAACAAAAAAGATAAGGGGGTGGGTGACAGGAGATGGCCAGCCACCCAGCCTGGGGAACCTGAGTTGGGGATCAGGATTTTGTAACTGTAGTTGCAGAGGGAATGTACTCAGTGCCCTGGTATTTACTGATAGCTGAGTATGTGCCCGATACTGTCCTACCCCGGGATACAAAGAAGAAAAAGAAAAGGTGTCTGTCTTCTGAAATCCCCACGATCTCCGGGTGCGCAAGCGGGTTGGTCCCGGAGTCGTCGCTCCCACGTAGCCCACGTACCTTTGCCTGGTGATGAGATTGATGTAGTGTCGCAGCGCCGAGTAGTATCTGGCCAAGTCCTCCGCCGGCGCGTCCTCTCCGGGGTTGTCGGGCTTGGAGGGGTACGCCTCGGCCAGAGCTCCCAGGCACACGAGCAGGGACAGGGCGAGGGTCAGTCCGGACAGCCCCAGTCGGTTGCTACCCAGCATCTGCGTACACCGAAGGGGCAGCGGAGGGGGCTTGGGGGATTCAGAGGATACACACTCCGCACCTCCTTCCTCTGGACCCCGCGCCCATCCCGCTGCTACCACCCCTACCCCACGTCCACCCCCAGTCCGCGCTCGACCCAGTCACGCCGAGGGAAGCGGAGCGTGGCGAGCACCACCCTGCGGATTTAGGTCCAGATATGCTCTGGCCCGGCCCCGCTGCTCCGTCCGAAAATTCTGAGCAACTTTGGTCAAGTAGCAGAGCCGAAGATCCCGCGGTGAGAGGCGCAGAGTTGGGGGAGGCGCCGGCGCCAGTTTAAAACACTTTAAAAAACAGATTAGAAGTTCCTGCCGCTGCGTGGAGGACTTATCCCTTTCCCACCCTCTTCCCCAAACCCCCTGTTAGAGGAAAGAAGTTTCTTCTTTTCTACTTTTGGTCTGCCCGGCCGCAGGAGCTCGACAGTGATGGCTGAGAGTACTTCAGGGTGGCAACTGGGGGGTGGGGGGGGGGGGGGAGAACTGCTCCCGGGCCAGTCAGTCTCAGATCGGATCCCAAGGATCCCGAGAGGCGGCAGGGAGCGCGTCTTCCAAGCTCCGGGGAGTCCTCATTCTGGGAGCGCGCCTTGGGAAAACTCCCTCCAGGCGGCGACCCTCGAGGAAACCGCCAGCTGCTCTGGGATGCGGTCGTGTTCTCCCTCTTTATCCGCCTAAAGATAACCCAGAGGGGCGAGCCAGCCAGGAGGGTCGGGGAGAGGGCAGATGCACCATCAGAGGGGACAGGAAGGAGCAAGTGGAATTTAGCCGCCGAGAGCCCGGCGCGTAGGGGTTGGGGAGCGGGGCGCGACCCTCCCAGCGCCCCTGGGATCTGCAGAAGGTGAGACGGCGCCCCGGGCAAGTTCACAGGTGCCCGCACTCCCTTCGCTCCCGCCAAGCAAGCGGGTCGTGGCACTCACGGTGGCTGGCGGGCTGGCGAGCGGGCGTGACTGGGCCGCGAGTGCTGTGCAGTCCGGCTCGCCTCTCCGAGGGGTGAGAGCCGGCGGATGGGGTGTCCGGAGCAGGTCGCAACGGGCCTTTTATGGCGTTCCCTCGCCCCGGCAGGAGGGGCTTCGGGCAATCACGTTCGGTGACTCCCACCCCGCCGCTTCCCACCCCCGTTGGCGCGGGAGGGGGGAGGGGGCTAGGACCGCTGCCGCGCGAGATCGGCTCGGGGAGCCACCCACACCCGGACTCGCCCGCGCCAGGCCCTGCCGGGGGGAAGGCAGCGCGCTCCGAGGGCGCTGGACCACGCCAAAGAAGTTCCTGCCCTCCCGCGGCGGCCAAACCTCGCTCTCCTTCACGCCCCACCTATTCCTGCCAGAGATAGGAGCAGCCCAGATCATCTTTGTCACCTGTCACCGTACCAACGAGCTGGGCGCCAGGGCTGGGGGTACCCGAATCCTCTACTTGGTGAAGCCTCTCCGGGATCCGTGCGGCAAGGGCGCGGACACTGCTCCAGCGCGCTTTCAGGGGTAGACTATTCGGTGCCCGGATATTCCTGCGCTTAAAGCAGGTCCGGGAGCCAGCCCGAAGTCCAGAGCTAGAGGGTCCCAACTCCCCGCTTCTCCCAGGGGCTGAGAACAGGTTTCTGTGGCTTCGCCCCTTTACCCAGCTTGTTTTTCGTGGAGATCAGCCCTCCCCAAGAGCTCGCCCAAACGCTAGGCGTTCGGGCGGTACCCGAAAGAGTGTAGCGACTGAAAACTCCTCAGAGGGGGGACACTTTCTGGGTTTGCTGAAAAAGAGCGGAGTCTGAAGCTCGGAGAGACCCCTTAAAGCGCGAACGCAAAATTTTGGTGCAAAGCGACCGGGTAGTTAAATTAACAGCATTTTCTCTTTTATCTGCTGGCCGTTGCATAGTCCCAAATATGTTCGATTAACGTTGATTGCGAATGCGGGCTCTGATCGAAATGAAACAGGTAAAAAAAACAATCACCATTAATTTGCACATCCCACTGAACCTGTAGAATGAATATGAAAGATGCATAAACTATTTTTACAGGATCAGAATTTCATGTAGTGGACTAGGTCTTGAAGTTCCCTGAATGAATGCTTCTAGAAGTCTGAATCTTTCTGAATAAAAGGCATGTTAGGGAATTAAAACCCTAAGTTACACGTTATTTTAATGCTAAAATGACAAGTGAGTCAAACTGACATTTTGTTTTTGTGCTGTTTTGACAGCGTTGAATTAAATATCAATTACTGTGCAGCAAGCAATCCTGAGTGTGTGTGTGTGTGTGTGTGTGTGTGTGTGTGTGTGTGTATGTCTCTGTGTTAGCAATTTTGAAGACCAACATCCGTTTCACTTGGGTGACTGCCTCTTTCCCCATCACCCCAACATATACCAGGAACACGATACCAGGCTCTCAGCTTTGCTCAGGGATGCTTATGTGAAAGAGCCTTTGGTAAAGTTAGAGCAAAACACTTTCTAACTCTGATTCCACTGTTGATAAGAAGAGGCGCTTCTAGCAGCTGAACCGTTTTGTTTCAAAAATCGTGTAGATGTTTATTCTTAGCAGCTTTGTTGAGATACGATTAAGATATACTAGGTTACAAATGTTTAGAATATTCCATTGGGTATATTCTTACACAAATAACGTCACAGTGAAGTCATCACCACAATCAATTTCCTCATGTCCCTTTGTAATTCCTCCCTCCTGCTTCTCCCTACTCCCCTCCTACACTGATCTGCTTCCTGTCATTATAAATTTGTTTGCATTTACTGGAATTGTGTCATAATGCAATTCCATGGTACGTACTCTTTTGTCTGCCTTCTTTCTCAGTATTATTATTTTCAGATCCACCTATGTCATTGCATGTATCAATAATTCATTTTTTAATTACTCAGTAGTATTTCATTATATGGATATATTTTAAACTTAAAAATCTATTCAACTGTTCATGGACTTTGGGTTGTTTCCAGTTTGGACTATAACAAATAAATTTTCTATAAACATGTTACAAATCTTTGTATGGACATATGCTTTTATTTCTCTTGCGGAAATACTTAGGGGCAGAATGGATAGGTCGTATGGTAGGTGTATGTTGTCCCACAGTTCACTGATGGTCTGTTTTTATATGTTTTGTTCTTTTTTCCTGTGTGTGTTTTATTGGATACTTTCTATTGCTATGTCTTCAAGTTGACTAATCTTTTCCTCTGCAATGTCTAATCACTGCAAAGACCATATAGCTTTTATCTCTAGAATTTCAATTTGGATCCTTTTTATTTTTCATGTCTTAACGTGTCCAGTCTTTTCTCTGACTTCTTGCATATGCATTAATAATAATTTGTCTACTACTTTTATCATCGGTGTCATTTCTGTGCTACTTTGGATTGACTGATCTTCACCTCATTACGGCTTGCATTTTCCTTCTTTGTCTGCCTGATAATTTTGGAAAGGATGTCAGGCATTGTAAATTTTACCTTGTTGTCTGTTGGATGTTTTTGTAATCCTAAAACTATTTTTGAGCTTTGTCCTGGGACACAGTTTAAATAGTTGGGAGTAGTTTCATCCATTCCGGTCTTGCATCTAAGATTTTTAAGGTGGGCCCAGAGATGGCTTTAGTCTGGATTTAATTTTCCCCACTCTGAGGCAAGCACCTTCTTCATACTTTAACTGATAGCTGATGCCCCCTGAATTGTGAACACCCTCTGGCTGTTAGTACAGGACTATCAGCTGTTTGTGAGCACTGGACACTATTTCCTCTCATCCTTTTGTGCAGTTCTTTTCCTGGTCTCAGGTGGTTTCTTCAAGTGCACGATCTAATCAGCAGTCCATTAAGCATTTTAGCTGGACACTCTGAAGATCTTGAGTGTTCTCTCTCTTATCTGGTACTCTATGCATGAACTTTAGCTGTTTCAATTCCTCTCTCTGCACTGCAGCCTGGATAATTTCTTCAGGCAGTGGGCTGAGACAACTGTAGGGCTCCCCTCAATTGTTTCCCATCTCTAAAAGATCACTGTCCTTTGTTGCCTGATGTCGAATGTTCTGGGTGTTGTTTCAGGTATTTTTGTCTGGTGTTTCAGTTGTTTCAAATGGGAGGGCAAATCCAGTTCCTCTTTTTATTTCTTAACCAGAAGTGGAAGTCTCATAGTAAGGCTTTGGAAAAAAAGATGTTTCTGTTCATTGTCTCTTCGTCACCTTTGGTTCTGGTCATGAAACCACAGCAATACAGGTTCTGTCTGAATCTACCTACTGAAACTGCCATCAGTAAGACCCTCCTAATTGCAAGCTGCAAGGCCCTTTACTAGTTATCTGACTTACCTTCACTGTTGCCTTCACTGGTCTCCTCTGGGTTACTTCCTTGCTCTCTGAACTGGCCACAGTCTCCTTTGCTAACTTTTCCTTCTGTACCCCAAGCCCCAGGCTTAACCCTTCCATTCTGCATACACTAAACAAGAAAACTCATCTATTCTCATGGCTAATGAGTCTGAAATCTCTACCTCCAGCTAAGGGCTCATATCTGGAGTCCAGGGCTATATGTCCAACTCAGAAAATCTTGATCAAGCCTCCAGTTTAGATTATCTAAAATAGAGCTTCCATTAACATAAATTCCTAGTTTTCTAATTCCTAATTCCTAAATTCCATATGAAGTCCAAAATATTTTCAGAATCCTTAAATTGAAAAGCAAGGCTCACATATTTTGAGCCTTACCTACCTCCTAGGTTTATCTAACTTTTTTAAAAAATTAATTAATTTATTTTTGGCTGTGTTGGGTCTTCGTTGTTGCATACGGGCTTTCTCTAGTTGCGGTGAGCCGGGGGCTACTCTTCATTGCAGTGCACAGGCTTCTCATTGCGGTGGCCTCTCTTGTTGCAGAACACATGCTCTAGGTGCACGGGCTTCAGTAGTTGTGGCTAGTGGGCTCTAAAGCGCAGGCTCAGTAGTTATGGCACATGGGCTTAGTTGCTCTACGGCATGTGGGATCTTCCTGAACCAGGGCTCAAACCCATGTCCCCTGCATTGGCAGGCTGATTCTTAAGCACTGCACCACTAGGGAAGCCCCAGTTTATTTAACTTAACTTTCTCCTTCATTCCTTACATTCCTGTCCTTTGGCTTTCTTTCTGCTCCTTAAATAACCTTTCAATAACCTTTCCCACTTGGGTTTTCAATGTGCTATGTTCTCTCTCTGAGATATTCTCTCTCTCAACTTTTTACCTGGCCAAGACTTACTTACACATCCTTCTAGTTTTACCTTGAAATGTCACTTCAGATTTTCCTAGTCCTCCGGGCTGGATTAGATCCCCTGTTATAAGTTCTCAGGGGACCCTGAACTTCTCATTAATTGCCCTTAGTTTCAGTTGAATTTTGAGGTATTATCTAGTTATTATATTGATATTTGTTAATAACTGCTAACTCTGTAAGAGAAAGGACAACACATTTTTAATTTACTTCTGTATCCCTAGTATGATACCTAGCACTAAATAGATCCCTAATAAATATGTCTTGATCAGAATAAATATTTTTATGAAACTGAGGTTTATAACTGAGTTCTAAAGAAGTCTGTTATAATTAAGAACAGGGATTGGCAAACTACCGCCTTTGAGCCGCTGCCACCAACAAAGTTTTCCTAGAACACAGCCATGCCCATTAATTTACCTATTGTCTGAGGCCACTTTCCTGCTACAAAGGCAACATTGAGAAGTTACGACAGAGACTGTACTGCAGAGATTCTAATTCTGGCCCACAAAATCAAAAATATTTACTCAGGCTCTCTACAGAAAGAGAAATCTCTCTTTGATTTAGAACTTAAGCATTTTACGTGAGTCACAATCTGAGGGTCCTTAATATGCCAAACTGCTTCCTGCTCAAGGGCCCTTGCATATGCTTTCTCTGCCTGGAACACTCTCCTTTCCCTTGACTCTTTGCTGGCCAACTCCCACTTATCCTTCATGTTTTACTCTGCTTGTCATTTCTTCCTAATCCCTGAATCTAGAATAGGTTTCTCTCCACCTTGCCTCATTGTGTGGTTCCCTAAACTTAAACTTTCCCTATAAAGATCCTTTCATAGCTGTCATTGTCTAATTAGGTGTACAGTCATATGTATTATTATTTGCTTGGTGTCTCTAACATTTCATAAGTGTAAGCTCCAGGAGAGCAAGGGTGTATGTTTTGTTCACCATTATACTCCCAATACTTAGAATAATGAGTTCTATGGAGAAAAGCAATAAGCAGAGAAGGGAGATTGAAAGTGCCAGTGGAGGGTTATAGGAGAGTCGGGTGGTAAAATTTTAAAAACACGTGTTTTTACTCTATTCACAACACTTCTGACAGCAAATGTGTGGGTGTTTATACATCAAGCAATTCTCCAGTTCTCAGTGGACATCGACTGTATGTCCTACCACTTAACTTAATTCTGACACTAACTGCCTGGACTTAGTGCAGACCTCACAAGTTAAGGGTTCAGTCTCATAAGACTGCCCCACACTTCAGATGACAATCTGAAGTCCAAGGTTGTTAACTATACTTCTGGCCAAGCAGCTGTAAGTTGGGAGTTCCCACAAGCCCCTCCTCATGTTCAGTAATTTGGTAGAATGGCTCACAATACTCATGGAAACATCTACTTAAGTTTTTTTTGTATATTATAAAGGATTTTACAAAGGACACAGAGGAAGGGGCACATAGAGCACGGTATGGGAAAGGGGCACAGAGCTTCCATGCTCTCTCTGGATGTACCACCGTCCCAGCACCTCCAGGCGATCACCTGGAAGCTCT